ACTGAGGATGGAGCCCACAACCCCAGCATGTGCCCTGACCGGGAATCAAACTGTGACCTCCTGGTTCATAGGTCGATGCTCAACCACTGAGCCATGCCGGGTTGTGATCTTTAAGAGACTGTAGGGAGGTGCGTTGCCAGCACATCCTGAGACATGAGGACTTTGGGCACGAACAGTGTGCAGACATAGATGGATTTCTAGATGGGAATCAGGACAGGCTTCTCGCCGTTGTCTTGGAAACATCACCCAAAGCTAAGGAGACATTCAGCGAATGATAAAGAGAATTTCAACTTGCTGAGGGGTTACGAGTCACATCTAAGGGACATGTAGAGTTTGGTAACTAACTCCCAGATAAAAAGTGCTTCTTCATCTCATTTTCACTCAACTGTAAGCCATTTGACATGCATATGAAGGCTGTAGCATCTTTAAATTTAATTTTTTATTAGTAGATTTGTTGGGGTAACATTGGTTAATAACATTATATAGATGTCAGGTGTACAGCTTTATAACACACCATCTGTATGCTCTACTATGTGCTCTTGTAGAACCTTAATATTACAAATGGAATAAAGTAAATCAAACAGCAGACAAGCAGGCCATTGGACAATTCCACACCGATGCCTAGTTGCTTCCGGGACTCCACAGACAGTTACCTTACAAGGCAGAATGGTTGGAATGGCTGCCAGCTGTGGAGACTTCCCATTAGTGGTTCTTAAGTTTTAGTTTGCATGAGGCATGTTCTATCAGGCTGTGCACACAGGTCATGGAGCTTATATATACAGGGCAGTTTTGACAATACCAGACGTGGTTTTGTTGCCAGCAGCTCTGATGCGATGTTGGTGGGGGAGAGGATGCATTCAGCTGACGACCCTGCGTGATGTGCCTGCCCAGCTGGTAGGATTGTGGTCCGGGTGTGCCTTCTGCTTACTGCACTCAGGTGTGGTGGGGATAAGGTGACGGATCCACGCCTGCTGTGTCCAGGAGGCAGGGGACACCACCCTGGCTACGCCTGGCCAGGCACTGGGCCTGGTGTTCGTGATTCTCGGAGAGCCTGATGAGACCGTCTGTCTTGTGTCAAGCTCAGTTATGGGTGGCCTGATCGTTAGTAATCGGCCCGGCGGCCTTGGTAGCGCACCACTTCCCTAGAGGATGATTTTGCCATCAGAGGACATTTGACAATAATGTCTGGAGGACATCCCTGAGTGTCACGACCAAGAGGGGCTATGGACGACTGTGGGTGGAGGCCAGGGATGCTGCTAACCACCCTACAGTGCACGGGGCGGCTCTACAACAAAGGACTGTGCCCCAGATGCTCACTGGGCCAAGGGCGAGAGAGCCTGGGCTAGAAGCTTCCTTTCCTGCATTTTCTTGGAAGCAGCAGTGACTGTATCCAGAAGCCTGGAGAGCTAAGTGACCCCTCCTGGAAAGATGAGTTCAGGAGGGTAAAATGTGGGCTTCTGAGGATAGCGATGTGGATCTGCATTATTCCTTCTGCAGCTGTGCGCCTGACTCCACCCCCGGGAGCCTGGGGCGCCCTGTCCTTGCTGGTTAGTCTGAGGGAAAGTGATGAGGCCTAATTGCACTGCGGTCAGTGAGTTCCCAGGGGTGCCCCCACCTGTCTGCGCTCAGTGGCTGCTGTCTGTGTACACAGCTCCCTCCCTCGCCTCCTCTTCTCCATGGAGACCCAGGGGGAGCCTCGTCATTGTGTTCTCACCTGCTCACCAGGTTTTGTCGGAACAGCTTGGGGAAATCAATACCAGCTCCAGGGGAGACAAGCACCCTGGCTTTTGATTCCTGGAAGGCTCGGTGACTCTTTCTGTGCAACCCTAGACTGTTTGGTGTGGAGTCGGGAGGAGGGTGCTCCCAACCCATTCTTCCTTCTGTTATTAATCCTCTTGCCCCTCTGGAGTGTGGGCTGTTTGTGTTGAATAGAGTTACCTGAGTCACACCGAGTCTGTTTTCACATTGGAGCCTGCTTTCTTCTCATTCTAGGGCGTGTAATTGAATCTGGGTCCGGAGTTGAATGGTGCCCTGCAGATATAATACCGTGTCCTTAGAATTCGCGAGTGAGTGAAACACTGTACAGGGTACAGGGGGAAGCCCGGCACCCATCGCCTGCTTGTCTTAGCACCTGGCGGCTCCATAATTATTTAACCAGTCTGGTGGTGACTGGTGACTTGTTCCCAAGTTTTGGGAATTGCAACCAAAACCACAGGCATTGTTATGATTTAGTTAATAATGATTCTTGAGGAAACATCTAGAAAAGTAAAATTACTCCACATGAACCCAACATTTCAAGGCTCTGGGGCAGTTTGCTCACAGTCCCTTTGGAGAGTTGTACCAGTTTGTACCCTCAATGGGTGTATATGGACACGAGCTTTGTCTCGAAGTCACACCGAGGGATATGTTGGGAGTGTCCACGTGGTCGAGAGCCCCGTGCATGAACCTACCAAGTTATGACCCAGCAACTATGGGAACTCATTGTTACTGTGGCCTTTGCTTACTTGGCTTTGGCGTCACCTGTTTCAGGAACACGCCAGACATGCTCCTGCCCCGGGGCCTTGGCACTTGCCGTCCCCGAGGCCTGTGGAAACCTGACACTTGCCCCCTGACTTACCTCCCCCCTCTCAGAGGGCTTTCCTCACACCTGCTTTCTCAGTGACTCTTCCCCTGGCTTCCCATTTAACATGGAACTACTGTCCCTTCCTCCCAAATGCACTCACACGCCTCAGCTTCTCCTCGCCTTCGCCATTTCTCTGCACGCCCCTTGGTGCCATCTAACATCCAGATCCCCAGCATTGCGGATAGCACAGTGTAGGCTCAGCGAGTGGGTGCTGAGTGAGTAGATGGGCCCTCACTGGTCAGCACTGATGAGCCGCACAGTGGGCTTCCCTCGTCTTCTGGGCCAGAGGAGCCGCCGTTTCGTTTGGGTTCATTTCCTTTCCTTGTCAGCTCCAGGGAAGTGAGTGACTTACAGGACTGGTGCCGTTGCTGAGGCTGCCATGATCAGCTCTGTCGCTGTGGTCGCAGTGATGTCCACCGGTCCCCGAGAGAGGGCAAGGCCCAGGCGCACGTGGCTGATGAATATTCACACCGAGACCTACTTCTAAAACCACAAGAACCCGCTAGGAAATGGGGCAGAGGATTTGGCCAGTTCACAGAGGAGTGGACCTGGGACTTGGCCGTTCATGTCCAGGCTCACTCACTGTGGGAGAAATACGGGTTGAAAGTATACCAAGATCTGCTTTCTTCGCTGCGTCAGGTGTGCTAACGGCAGGCTGTTGGGGAGGCTGTGTTGGTAGGCAGCCTCATCCGTTGCTGGAGGCAGTGCGGACGGCACAGCTCCAAGGAGGCCCATTGGAAGCAGCCATGAGAATTTGAAACTGCCTCTGCCCTCGGGCCCAGCAATTCTACTCCGCCCCGCTTTGGGCAGGATGTATTCACATGTGTGCAAAGCAGTGGATGCGTAAGCTGACTGACCCGCCTCCTTTGTAACAGCCACAGGGAAGAATCACCCAGGGGCCCGGCAGAGGACGGGGTCATCAGATAGGTGGCCTCCATGCAAAGAACCAAGACGGATCTGTGAGAGAAACAGGTGCAGTATTTGTGCGAATATAGAGAGATTTCGAAGAGATACAGAGTGAAAAGACCAGAGGAGAGAATGCTGCCTTCTGTATGCAGGGGGAAGGGCGGTACATTTTTGAATTTGCCTTGTGTATGCGAAGACGTTCTAGAGCAGCGGTTCTCAACCTGTGGGTCACGACCCCTTTGGCGGTCGAACAACCTTTTCACAGGGGTCGCCTAAGACCATCCTGCATATCAGATATTTACATTATGATTCATAACAGTAGCAACATTACAGTTATGAAGTAGCAACGAAAATAATTTTATGGTTGGGTCACAACATGAGGAACTGTATTTAAAGGGCCAGAAGGTTGAGAACCACTGTTCTAGAGGAATACAGAAGAGACTAATGACACTGGATAATCGGAGGGAGGAATGGGGGTCTGAACTGAGACAGGGTGGATGGTCCACTTCCAGAGGAGGGAGATTCTACATTGCATATCATCACATACACACACACATTCATGTGTTGAGTCATGTGCGTGTTTGACCTGTTCAAAATATTAAGTTAGCCTGGCTGGCATGGCTCAGTGGTTGAACATTGACCTAAGAACCAGTAAGTAGGTCATGGTTCAATTCCAGGTCAGGGCACATGCCCAGGTTGCGGGCTCAATCCCCAGTGTGAGGCATGCAAGGCAGCCAATCAATGATTCTCTCTCATCATTGATGTTTCTGTCTCTCCCTCTCCCTTCCTTTCTGAAATCAATAAAAAAATGATTATAAAATATTAAGTTAAAAGGTCACACTACAGGAGATGGCTGGGCTGGGAGAGGATTCCCTTATCCCCTTGTATCAGCAGTGCTGCTCAATCAAATGAGGATCCAGGGTCCACTCTGAACGGCCTGCATCTCCATCCCTCAGTCCCTCTGGGAAGGTGCCTGGTGGGAGTGGGCCTTGGAGAGGGGGTGTGTTGCATGTGTGTGAACGTCAGGCCTGGTCCCTTCCCAGTGACATCCTGGTTGCTATAGTGTAGCTCTGTTTGTGACATAGAAAACACTGTAGAGAAACGCTGCTTCCTGACCTGACTTCCTGGGCAGTCTGTCCTTCCGGAGCTGTGAGCGCGGGCTTCTGTGGCTCTGGACGGAGCGAGACCAGCTCCCGGGACCCGGGGGTAAGGGACGCCTGCTTTCCCGTCCAGAGTCACAAAGCTGTCCTCCCTGGGGCCATGTCCCCGGCAGCTGGACTCTAGGGCATTGGCACCTTCTCCTCCTCCATCTTGTCTCCTCCGAACAGCCAGGGGTGCAGTTGGCAGCTGTGTCTTCTGTCCCTGAGCCGTTACTTGTACCTCAACCACCAGTGAAAACAGGAAGTGATGAAGCAGGCCCGCCTCTCGTGTGCTCTGAGCGACCTTCTTTCTCTTTGTCATTCCTCACCAGGGATAGACACGTGTGGCTGTCTGCACCGCGGGAGCCCGGGGCACCAGCGTGGGACGCGGCTTCACCATGCCTCCCCCTGCGGACATCGTCAAGGTGGCCATCGAGTGGCCGGGCGCCTACCCCAAGCTCATGGAAATCGACCAGGTTGGTAATGCGCGGAGCGGTGTGGGGTTGTTCTCGGTGTTCCTTCGGTTCTGGAATTTTCGCAGACATTGATGGCTCTTTCCCCCTGGCCTTTCCCTGGCTGTGCTGAGTCTGTGCAGTAATAGTTGCAGTGTAATTGGTTTCTGTCCCACACACAAGGGTGATGCATGGTTGCTTCACTCGCCCAGCATCTGCATGGACGGTGTCAATACAGGGCTTGTGGCCCGGACAGCGTGGCTCTGTGGTTGAGCATCATCCTATGACCAGGAGGTTAAGATTCGATTCCCGGTCAGAGCACATGCCCGGATGTGGGCTCCATCCTTAGCGTGGGGTGTGCCAGAGGCAGCCGATCAATGATTCTCTCTCATCATTGATGTTTATCTCTCTCTCCCTCTCCCTTCCTCTCTGAAATCAATAAAAAAATATTTACTAAAAATAAATTCCAGGGGATGTGTCTGAGGCTGTGACGAGGATCAGGGACAGTGGCCTGCAGGCTCCAGGCCAGCACACAGCACAGGCTGCCCCAGCCTGCCTGGCGGGGACTCACGGACACGTGCAGACCATTTCATCATGGGCAGCACAGAGCTTAATTTTTTGAATCCTGTTTCTCTTTGAATTTGGCCGGAGCAGCCAAGTGCATTGGAGTAAGGGCTTGCTAATGAAATGAGTGTCACGGGGCTCAGTCTTGGATCCCAGACAATTGTAATTTTGCGATTAGTGTAAACTGCACTGTGAGTCTAGTATATTGCCTGGCAGGTGACAAATACTCAGTAAATGTTAGCGGAATGAAAACCACATCATGGTGACTTAAAAGGTGATTTTACCCAGGAAGGCCTCCCTGGCTTGGATCTGGGTGGCTCCTGGGAGTCGCTGGCACCTTCTGTTTTAGTTCAGGTTATCTCAGGAGGGTTACCTTGCCCCCCCCTCCCCCCCCCCCGAGCAAGTGATTTAAAGAAAAAGGGGCTGAACCTTAATACACAGTGAAGGGGTTCATAGAGCAAATAACACAGGACTCCAGACGGCTTCCGGCCTTTGCAGAGTTAGGGTGCCATGGCAACTCCACTTCTTATTTATGTTCTTGATATTATTTTATGATTATAATCTGTACTGATTTTTTTTTTCCTGGTCAGATTTTATTATCTGGTTGAAGGTTATATAACATTGTGTGGATCTAAATAACTTAATAAGTTCTACACAACAAGTCAGAATTACTGGAGCTTGAGTGTGAATGTAAGACAAGGTCAATGTTTAGGGTTGTTGTCATCCAGCCAGCACACCACTGTCATCATAGCTGCTCCCGGAGGTAATTCTGTGGGATTCTGGAAGCAGCCCACTCGGGTCGAGAAGCCCGCCCAGCCGTTTTCTATTCATTTGTGCCAAACAGCTGTTTGCCCTTTTCACGTGCTTCTTGAGAGGGTCACCAGCTGAATTCCCCTTTACGCTGCGTCTGGGACTGCTTGGTGCAGACTCAGTGCAGTCGGGAGGAGGTGTGGCCACACCAGACAGAACAGCGCTTCCGGGAGGTGGAAGCTGCTCCTGGGCTGGCGCGCTGCTCCAGTGTCAGGGGCTCAGGTGCCTTCTGTCTTGTTGCTCTGCCGTCTCCGTGGGGCTGAGCACCAGTTGCCCGGGCGTCACCTGGGAGCTCATTAAACATGAGAATGGGGGAGCCCACCTCAGATCTGACACAGGACCTGCATTTTCACAAGGCCCCCGTCCGGTAGTGCAGAGCTGCACACCTGGTGCCCGAGGCTGATGTCTCAGGAGAGGGCTGGAGCGGTTGGGAGCGTCTGCTTTAAGACAGCAGCTCCTGCTGCACACTCCTGACTCCCGTGGAGGCAGTGTCCTGCCCCTGCTGTGGGTCTGGCCTTTGCTGTGTATTAATAATTAAAAAATATATTTAAAAATATTTGGGGCCCAGCCAGTGTGTCTCAAAGGTTGAGCGTTGACCTGTGAACGAGAAGGTCGTGGTTCAAGATTCCCAGTCAGGGCAAGTGGTGCTTGTGTTGGGGGGTGTCCAGAAGGCGGCTGACCAATGATTCTCTCTCATCATTGATGTTTCTCTCTCTCTCTCTCCCTCTCCCTTCCTCTCTGAAATCAATAAAAATGTATTTAAAAAATAATATATTTTAGAACAGTTTTAGGTTCACAGAAAAATCACGGCAGCTCAGGGCCCAGCCTGGCTCCTGGTCATCTCCCTGTTTGATAGACGTACTTGTCTCCGTGGAAGCTTTCAGCTGCCTAGAGAACACAAGCCAGTGCTGGCGAAGCTCTCCAGGGTGAACCTGAAAGTGGGGCCGAGAGGCTGCTGACTGTGGGAAGCTGTTTCATGCGGAGGAGAGGTCATTAGACGTGTTATTTATGGCCCCGAGCGCGGAAACTCCATGCTCTCCACACAAGGAAATAGATCTGGCCTCTCTCAGGGAAGGCGTGCCCGTGCCATCTGGGCAGGCGAGGGTCCTGGCCGTCATTTCTATACGATGCACACCTGGGCCAGGTGGCCAGGCAGAGGGTCAGGCCCAGGGGCTGATGGGAAGGTGCATGGCTTCCATCTGAGCCCTTCAATCCTCCTCTGGTGGCTGCCAGGCTTTCCTAGGCGGCTGCGGCCACAGCAGCTGGGATGGAGCTGTTTTCACTGGGGAAGCTGTGAGGAAAGATTCTGTTTGAGGAAAGTCTACCACAGTTTTTAAAAAAATCACGAATGAGCCTCGAGCTTCCTAGTGACCTGAGATTCGAGTCAGATTCCTTAACTGGCCTCACGGAGCTTCCACGATTCCCGTGCATCAGCCCCAGTTCACGTTGCCCGCGGGACCTCGTGCACCTCTCACGAGCTCAGGTGTTTTGTAGAAGCTGCGCCTTTATAGGTGCGTCACTGCGGCTTTACACGCATTAAAACCCCCCTTGAGGCTTTGTTCTGACTAACAGGGGGCCTGCTGGACTGCCTCCCGCCTTATCAGCGCTCCACGCCTCTCACTCCCGCTCTGGTAAGCACATGGGGGGCGTGGATGGGGGTAGAGCTGCCTTTGAACTCAAATCCTTTGTGATCACGTTATAATATAGCCATTTCTCCATCCTTCTTATTTCTTATAGCATTCCTTGGCTGGTAGCTTTGATTTACATTTAATATGACCTGTGGGCATGGATCCTAAGCCTGTGTCTTACACACACTGTGTCTGGGGTCCATCGTATTGACCTCAGTTTCTGGCTTCCATAATGAACAGTAAAGATAAGAATGGAACTTCGGTGTCCGCCCTTCTCTGGACAGAAACATTCCACGGCCCCCTGCCTGGTAGGGTTGGGGAATCTCATTTCTCTGAAAGAAAGACAGCTGCCTGTGCTTTTGGGCAAGTGTGTCCCAAAGCTGAGGTTTTCCCTTGACCGTCCTGCTTGTGTCGTATGTTTAAGACAGGATTCAAGCTGCATGGATTTCATGTGCCCAAGGCCTTTTGAAAGCTTATTGATTGCACAAAGCACAGTTAAGTGTTTGTGCTGGACATTGGAATTCGGCATTCTGTATATAATAATGGTCCTAGTAGCAGTAATAACAGCAGGTGCCATCTGCCCAGCACATGCCATGTGCCAGGCAGCAGGTGAAGTGCCTGGTGTGGAGTGGTTTATCTCCGTAGCACAGCCTAGCGAGGCAGGCTTTAGACTTTCCCGTTCGTAATCGTTGGAGGCTCCTTCACTTGCCTGAGATTACACAGCTAGGAAACTCCCAGTTCGAAGCCAGCACAGCACGTAGGACACTAAAACCCAGGCAGTTTCTACCAAATCATAAATCTGGTTGGTAATTCTTTCGTAAATTTATTTCTTTTCAGCTTTATTGCGATATAATTGACATAAAATTGAAAGATATTTAAAGTGAATACCCTGATGATGTGATGTATGTCTCCAGCGGGAAAGGATTTCCCCAGTCGAGTTAATTAATACATCCCCCACTTCACGGTTATGGTTTCTTCCCCCTCCCACCCCTTTGTGTGAGAACATTTAAATTCTGTGCTCTTAGCACATTCCAGTTATGCGGTACAGCACATCAGCGGGAGTGACCCTGTGTCCCACGAGAGCCTTACTCATCGTGTAGCTGAAGGTGTGTGTCCTTTTACTGACCTCTGCCTATTCTGCCCCAGACCCCACCCCTGGCAACCCCTCTTCCGCTGTTTCTGTGAGTTTGACTTGATTTTAGATTCCACCTGTGAGTGATTCCAGGTAGCGTTTGCGTTTCTCTGACTTAACGAGTTCGGTAGTTCTCTTTGTGTCTCCCCATCTCTCACGCTTCTATGGGTTGGCTCCTGCCATTCATGTTTGAGCAGACGCCCAGCGTTGCCACAAGGCCTGCTCCATCCACTAGCCACGTGACTTCCAGGGACACGTGTCACGGAAGCAAAGAACAATTAGAGAAGATGTGGCCAGTGGTCTGGGTTACCGCCCAAGGCGCCTACCTGGAGGGGGAGAGAGCATGGAAGCTGGTTTCTGGGAGGGGCCGCCTGGCCCGGGGCCCAGGAGCATGGACGTTGGGTGGACTGATTTGGACTGGGAATCTGGGCTGCTACTTAAGTGCTGTGTGAGTGGGGACAGCCTCCTGCTCCGTGAGGAGAATTGGCAACACGCACACATGCTTTCTGGCATCTGGGCCTTCAGTGAGATAATCACTCAGCACTCGGCTTAGCGATGCTAACCATTAGGAGCCAATTATGGTTTCTTCCGAGTGGCACACACAATAGAACGTGCTGCTTAGGTTTCCAGCAAGACTGAAACCAATAATGTAAGCGTCCTCTCCAATGCACCGAGGCCAACTCTTAGGAGAATGAAAACCCGTCATTCCCAAAACATCTCAATAATGAGCGCCTGGTCAATGGAAATGACCTGAGCTCCACGGAAAGAGTTTTGAATTCAGACCTTTAAGATAACATGACACATACATGAAGAAGGTGCTTAGTCCCCTTGGGCCCTCCATGTAGCAGTGGTGCAGACTGTCTGTATAAAGGCTCCATCGCATCAAGCGG